CAGTCCCATGGGTGGTCAACTGAAAGAGATTCTACTGTATTTTGTCATGGAACTGGAGAAGATAAAACAAAAAACATTAGACATTTCTCCCCAGGGCAATTAACCCTGTCCAACCCCCAGTTTTCCCTAAGGTCTAATCTCTATCTCCTGTAATGTTGATGCATCTTTGCTTTGGGTGAAAACTGCTCTATCTCCTTCCTCAGCACACTTCTCCAGTACCTTCTTCTGTCTAAGCATCCCTAATCTCTGGCTGTCTCTGCTCCTACATACATACCCATAGTACCTGTCTACTAGCCTGTAATTCTACCCAGAGGGAAAATTGAACCCCATGGTTTTATAAGACTGGTATCTAAAATTTCTCTTTGTTTTAAAAAAAAAACAAAACAATGTTCCAGGAATTTATTTGTTAAGCAAAAGACATTAACACATGAAAGAGAAACCATAGAGGAAAGAACCAACTGAACTAAGGTCTCCAGGCTGTGTTACTACCCTTGAAATTTGAACCACATCCAAGTCTCTTCCACCCACTCAATTTTCAGACCTAGTAAACCACACTTGCTTTTCACTTGTTTCATAACTCAAAAAATAATGTTTTAGTATCCCCTGGAGATTTCATCCATAGAACAGTTCCAGTAGTAGCAATGCTGTTATTAAAGTCCCCTATTGAAGAAAGCTACTGGCATTCTGTGAATTAGGAATCCTTCTCCTGTGACTGTTTTGCAGGTTGTGTGTGTGTGTTTGTTTACTACCCCAGAATCTAATATTTCCATATTAGATTATTTACTGGGTTTTTTTTTTTTTTTTTTTTTTTTTTTGAGTTGCAGACAAAGCTTAACTAAGATTGTTTGTTAGCTTCTGGAGATGAGGTTTGAGGGTCTCTGGCTTCTTTTCCTTTGTTTCTCGCTGAGAAAATAAACAAAAGTAAAACAATGCTTAGGAGTCTAGTGCTTTGTACTCCCAGCCACTCCTTAAACTTTATTGATTGATATGAGGTAAACACATACACCTTTTAATTCCTGCAGTGCTGTTCCGTCTAATATGATAGCCACTTGGCACATGTAACTATTTAAATTTAAATTAATGAAAACCTAAGATTGAATTCCTTAGTCATACTAGCCCCATTTCAAGTCCTCAGTAGCCCCTGTGCCTGATGACTGGCACAGTGTTTCCACAATCAAGGAAAGCTCTATCACAGAGTACTGCCCTGTTAAGGCGCTTGGGTTCTCCTTTGCCTTTGATTTCTCTGCCTTTGACAGGACACCCTAAGCCTACCCAGTTCCTTGGGGGCCTCTATACATGAGGTTCACCAGGAAAATAGGGAGCTGGAAACTCAGCCTATAGCAGCAGCTGTAGCTCTCATTTCTTCATCTTCCTCTCCTGGTCCAGGCCTGCTTTCACACTATGACCTCTGCGTTCTTGACTTGCCCTCCTAAACTCAGGCACTTTGCATGCAATTATGGTTGAAAACCACCAGGGCTACTGGTTAGCCTTGGCTGTAG